CTCCCTTAGAGTTCATCCCCCAACATGTGGAGTTCAGAGGCAGACTACCTCTATCTCTGGAGGCTCCACCATGGATTGTGAAACCCAGGTGTTCTCCACCTGAGCTATCCTGATAGGTACCAGGAGTAGCCATTCTGTGGCCCTCCTGATGCTCCTGAACTACAACTCCCATCATCCTCTCTGGCTGCCGACCATCCTGCCTCACAGGGCTGATGGGAGCTGGAGTCTGTCAAGGCCTCAAAAAATGGCCAGGGTGCCTCATCCCAGGTTTCGATGAGGAACATCCACTTTGCTGAAAAAACTCCTTGGCTACAGGGCAGGGAACCCTGTGGGTGCAGATGTGGATGAACTACAACTCCCATCACCCCTGACCTCTGGCCTTAATGGCTGAGGACAGTCTAGGCACCCTTGAACCACAGTTCCCAGGATTCCTTAGGCTGAGGACGTTGTTGTCGTCGTTTAGTCGTTTAGTCATATCTGACTCTTCGTGACCCCCTGGACCAGAGCACGCCAGGTCCTCCTGTCTTCCACTGCCTCCCGCAGTTTGGTCAAACTCATGCTGCTAGCTTCGAGAACACTGTCCCACCATCTCGTCGTCTGTCGTCCCCTTCTCTGTGTGCCCTCCATCTTTCCCAACATCAGAGTCTTTTCCAGGGAGTCTTCTCTTCTCAGGAGGTGGCCAAAGTATTGGAGCCTCAGCTTCAGGATCTGTCCTTCCAGTGAGCACTCAGGGCTGATTTCCTTCAGAATGGAGAGGTTTGATCTTCTTGCAGACCATGGGACTCTCAAGAGTCTCCTCCAGCACCATAATTCAAAAGCATCCATTCTTCGGCGATCAGCCTTCTTTATGGTCCAGCTCTCACTTCCATACATCACTACTGGGAAAACCACAGCTTTAACTATACGGACCTTTGTTGGCAAGGTGATGTCTCTGCTTTTTGAGATGCTGCCTAGGTTTGTGCTTTAAATCTATGGTGCCCATACAGACCTAACTGGAGCTTGAACCATGGGACCTTCTGCATGCCAGGCAGCTGCCCTGCCCTGGAGCTGTGGCCTGATGCAGCCCAGCAGGGTGTGGTGTAGAGGTTAGAGCATCAGGCTAGGCCCTGGGAGGCCTGGGTTCGAATTCCCCACTCGGCCATGAAACTATCACAGGGTGTGTGGCCTTGGGCCTGTCACAGACTCTCAGCCTAACCTACCTCACAAGGTTGTTGTGAGAATCAAAGGAGGAGAGGAGGAAGACCACATACAGTGGTACCTCAGGTTAAGAACTTAATTCGTTCCAGAGGTCCGTTCTTAACCTGCAACTGTTCTTAACCTGAAGCACCACTTTAGCTAATGGGGCCTCCTGCTGCTGCCGTGCCGCCGGAGCACAATTTCTGTTCTCATCCTGAAGCAAAGTTCTTAACCTGAAGCACTATTTCTGGGTTAGCGGAGTCTGTAACCTGAAGCATATGTAACCTGAAGCGTATGTAACCTGAGGTACCACTGTACATACCACCCTGAACTCCTTGGGGTACAAATGCAATAAATTAAAATGAATTTTTAAAACACCAGAATACCAATCCGCATTTCTGCCTTTCCCAAGCCGTCCATGTTTTCTCTCCCAGGGGGGCAGAGAACAGAATCTGGCGACCAGAGCAGCTGTTTGGCATGCAGAAGGCCCCCAACTTTGATCTCCACCTAGACAAGGGTCTCCAGTAAGGGAGTCTCTGTTTGGGGCCCCGGAGAGCAGCTGCCAGTCAGAGCAGACCGCACTGGCTTTGATGGGACCGATGTAGCGAATCCTGGAGTAAGCAGCTTTCGCCGTTCAACATGGAGAACGCCACACCCACCGTGGCAACAGACCAGGAGCCAGGAGGAGGTCGGCTCCGCTCTCCCCCCCCCCATCTCTACGTTTAGCCCAAGGAAACGCAAGCGCCAGGGAGCCATCAACCCCAATATGTCACAGTGTCGGCCAAGCGTTGCGGCGCAGAGGCTGCCCTTGACAAGAGCGCTGTCGGCCGGTCCGTGCTGGAGGCATGGGGCTGCTCCCCTCCACCTTTGCCTCTGCATCTCCCACCCAGGCAGACGTCTCGGGGAACACCAGCAGGATATTTGCAGCAAGGATAGAATCGCAGAATTACGGTAGAGTGGGAAAGGGACCCCTGGTGGTCATCCAGCCCAACCCCCTGCAATGCAGGAATCTCAACCCAAGCACCCCCGACAGAGGGCCATGCCAACCTCTGATTAAAAACCTCCAAGGAAGGAAAAGCCTTCTCTGTACAGAGTTCTGGGATCCTTTCACTAGGACTAGCGACTTTCCCCTCCTTTTCATATGAAAGCTGAAGAGTTGGCACACCTGCCCAGGAGACCCAGGGAAGCCCTCGTGGGCGCCACAGCACCCGTGGGCACCTGGTTGACGACCCCTGTTCCTGGGGATTTCAAGCATCACTATCATGGGCTGCCCACTGGCCAAGGAGCTTTACTACAAGCCCACACAAATGCTTATCCGAAGATAAAAAGGAGGCAGGCAGGCAGGCAGGAACCCCAACAGTCCTGGAACACTGACTCCCTTTTCAAAATAAAATTAATAACAACAACAACAACAACAACAATAATAATAATAATAATAATAATAATAAATTTGTACCCCGCCCATCTGGCTGGGTTTCCCCAGCCACTCTGGGCGGCTTCCAACAAAGATTAAAAATACATTAAAACAAAGATTAAAAATAACACACACACACCCACCCACCCAGTATTGTCTCCTTGAAATGGCAAAGTCAGATTTAGAGGATATTATTATACCAGAGCAAGTGATCAAAACCAGCACACCTCGACAGAACAGCTTTGGGTCGCAAGGCTTGGGGAGAGAACCTGCGTCAGTGTGGTGTAGTGGTTAGAGTCCTGGACTAGGACCCAGGAGACCAAGGTTCAAATCCCTGCTTGGCCATGGAGCTCACTGGATGTGGCCTCGGGTCAGTCCCTATCCTTCTCAGCCTATCCGACCTCACAGGGTTGTTGAGAGGACCAAATGGGGAGGAGGGAGACTGAACGCCACCTTCCGCTTCTTTGAGGAAAACAGGGATGTAATTGAAATATATAAGTAATAATAAATAACATAGATCTATAAATTATTAGTAGTAGTATTTATTCAATTTCTATACCACCCTTTATCAAAAGATTTCATGCCAAACGATGTTTGAGAATGGCAAAATATCAGGATTTCAGAATATTAGAAAACTAATAAAAATTATCATAAAAAAGGGATTATTATTGGAATAGATCTAGCCAACGGCGCCCTGATCCTTTGGGGGGGGGCATCCAAAAATGAGGATCCGAAACCAGGAGATAAGGGAGAATGGCAAAAGATTTGGATCCACCAAGTTTGTTTTCTTCTGGAGGGCGGGACTCGAACCCATGGCTTCAAGTGAGAAGAAAGGAGATTCTGACGGAACGTCAGGAAGAACTTTCTGACAGTGAGAGCAGTTTGACAGCGGAATGGACTCCCTTGGGAGGTTGCGGACTCTCTCTCCTTGGAGGTTTTTAAGCAGAGGTTGGATTGTCCTGGATGCTTGAGTTGAGATTCCTGCATTGCGGGGGGTTGGACTAGATGACCCCAGGGTCCCTTCCGATTCTACAATTGTATGAAAACTGCCGGCTGCCTGACTCTCCCAAGGGTGATCTCTCTCCCCCCCCCCCCACTTCTCCTCTGCCACCTCACTCACTGACTGGCAGTGCCTCTCAACACCCTCCAAGTGAGTCACGAGGGAGGGTGGCAATGAATCAACAGCAGAAGGTGGGAAAAGGCGGGGGGGGGGGGAGAACGTGCCATAATTAGCACCCAAAGATGCCTGCACAAAGGAGACGGATCAGGACAGTGTCTTTACTCTCTTCTTCTTCCACCTGCCTTGCTCCACCCTCCAGTCTCTGCTTCTCAATTTGTATTGTATTATTTTATGTACCATGGCTTGCCGCTGTTTTATTGATTGCAGTTTCAAAATTATTTATTGTAATTGTTAAGAGTGGGTTTCTGTTTCATTTTTATATGCTGATATTATTATTCTATACTATTCTAATGATAGTTGAATGTAGATTGTTTATTTTAAAGCTGCTTTACTATCGCATTTTTGTATTGCATTACAGTGGTACCTCGGTTTACATACGCTTCAGGTTACAGACTCCGCTAACCCAGAAATAGTGCTTCAGGTGAAGAACTTTGCTTCAGGATGAGAACAGAAATCGGGCTCCTGCGACGCAGCAGCAGCAGGAGGCTCCATTAGCTAAAGTGGTGTTTCAGGTTAAAAACAGTTTCAGGTTAAGAACGGACCTCCGGAACGAATTAAGTACTTACCCCAAGGTACCACTGTAGATTGTTATAAACTGTACATTCTTTGTTTCTTCAGCTTGAGTATTGTAAGATAGAAAGGCGGTACAGTGGTACCTCGGGTTAAGTACTTAATTCGTTCCGGAGGTCCGTTCTTAACCTGAAACTGTTCTTAACCTGAAGCACCACTTTAGCTAATGGGGCCTCCTGCTGCTGCTGCGCCGCGGGAGCCCGATTTCTGTTCTCATTCTGAAGCAAAGTTCTTAACCTGAAGCACTATTTCTGGGTTAGCGGAGTCTGTAACCTGAAGCATATATAACCCAAGGTACCACTGTATACAAATTAAGAGTGATGATGGTGGTGGTGGTGGTTGCCTGTACACAAACGCCACCCTCATCCTCAAGAGACGACAGAAATAAAGGCAGATTCACACATTCATCCGCATTCATTCCTTTTCGGGGGTTAATTCTGACATGCCCATCAGTTGACTGCAAGGCACTCAAGGTGGCAGGCAGGGATGTGTCCCCCCCCCCAAAAAAATTATTTATCCTCACAACAACCCTCCGAGGAAGGCCAAGTTGAGAGGGAGGAGACAGCAGGCAACTGGCCCAATATAATCCAGGAAGCTCTATCATTGAATTGGAGGGGACCTCGAGGGTCATCTAGTCCAACCCACTGAAATGCAGGAACCTTTTGCCCAATGTGGGCTCGAACCCACAACCTTGAGATGAAGAGCCTCAGGCTCTACCGACTGAGATGGGGTACATAAGTTTATTTCCCCAATTTCCGCATTTTTGGAAGATGCTTGGGGGCTCCTTAGGGGTCAAGAGACTAATGAATTGAAGAAATTAGTAAATAATATAATAATAATAGAGTGAGACCTGTCAGCATATCCCAGCTCTGCTCAGAGACCTGGACTAGCCCAAGTTCAAAGTGTTCCCATTGGGATATAAGGCTCTTAACAGCCTAGGACCAGTTCACCTGCAAGATCACCTTGAAACTTTAAAAAGAGGAATACACCAAAAACAGATTAAAAAGCACATCAACATTCTACAAGTCTCCATAGGCTTAATGGTTGCTTTTAACTGCTTTTCTAAACTAATAATTTCATTGTTTTATTCTTTTCACAAACTGCTTTGAGGTTGCTGGGTTTGGGGTTTTTATTTATTTACAATTAAGCGGTATACATGTTTGATAAAATAAAAGAAATAAAATTCATCCACACTTTAAGGAGAGCAGCTACTTCCGGCCGGGGGCATCGTGAAGTTAAACGCAAAAATGCCAGCCTGCAATTCTGTTCCTGTAGCTTCTGTCAAACTGATACCCTCCAGATGCTTTGGGAGTTGTAGTTCAAAACATCTGGAGGGCGTCAGCTTGGCGAAGGCTGCTTTGCTGTGTTGCTTCAAATTGCTTTTATGGACTTTTCAGATCTAGTGAGGCAGCCTGGGATCTGGACGGAAGCTCTTCTGCTTGCAAAGGATGCGCTTGACCACCAAGCTACAGCCCCGTCCTACGTCAGCAGCAGGAACCCAATTTTATCTCTGTACGGAAAGCAGCATCAGACAAGATGGGCTCTGGCTTGACTCCAGATAGAAGGCGGAGTTCTTCCTTTGCCCACTCACGTCAGTGCAAAAGGACGGGAGCAAAAAGCTGTGGCAGCTTTTCATGCCAAGTGGGGCTGGGAAAGGCTCCTCCTGAAACCCTGGAGGGATGCTGCCAGTCAGTGCTGCTAGTACTGAGCCAGAAGGACCAACGGCCTTTCCTGTTCAGCCATTGATTCAGAACCATGAGGACTGGAATCCTGGCTTTACTTTTGGGGGGGAGCCACAGCTCAGGGGTGCAAACCCTGTTTTGTATGCAGAAGGTCCCAGGTTTCATCCAAGTGACATTTTGCTTTCCCCATACAGTGGTACCTTGGTTCTCAAATGCCTTGGTACTCAAACAACTTGGAACCCAAACATTGCAAACCCAGAAGTAAGTGTTCCAATTTGCGAACTGTTTTCGGAAGCCATACGTACTGCGTTTTGAGTTTTACGCTACCAATTTGAGTGCCACACTTCCATTTTGAGTTTTACGCTGAGGTCTGTCTGTTTTTGTTATTTTTGTTTTGTTTTGTTTTGTTTTGGCGGCTCTTTTTGGGACTGTGTGGAACCCAGTTCAGCTGATTGATTGATTGAGTGATTGTGTGACTGCAGTACACTGTTTATTGCTTTCATTTTATGGATCCATGGTCTCGTTAATATAGTAAAATTCATGTTAAATTTCTGTTTTAGGGGTTGTTTTTAAAAGTCTGGAACTGATTAATCCATTTTGCATGACTTTCTATGGGAAAGTGCGCCTTGGTTTTGGAACGCTTTGGTTTTGGAACGGACTTCCGGAAAGGATTAAGTTTGAGAACCAAGGTACCACTGTATTTATTTACCTACTTAATTTATACAGCTGCCCTATAGGAGAAGTACAATAGGAAGCCAGTGTGGTGTAGTGGTTAGAGTTTCGCACTAGCACCTGGGAGATCAGGGTTCGAATCCCCGTTCAGTCACAAAGCTCAGTGGGTGAGCCTGGAGTCAGTCGCCGCCTCTTCACCTACCTTGCAGGGTCGCTGTAAGGATTAACTGTGGAAGGGGATGAACCACGTACTCCCGGGATAAAAAGGTGGGGTACAAATGCAAAAATAAGTTCTTCTGTTTACTTGCTTAAGAAGGCTGGAGTGGCCAGCCAGGTGGAGATCTCACAATTGCAAACCACACCTGGTTAATTTCTAAGCCTGGCTCTCTCTGCTAAAACACCCTCTGTGCATGCTCAGGAGGCTTTCCACTTCCGCTGTGCCTTCTGGCTTTTCTAGGGCCAAGACAAAACTCTTATTGCTGCGGCAAAGGCAGAGGGGGAGAGACAGCTAATCGATGGAAGGCAAACCTCTAATAAAATAAGAGCCGAGAAAATGCACACACACAGAGAGAGAGAAAGAGTCCATCCTCTCCTTCCCTTCTTTACCACAAGGTCCCCAAAGCCCAGGCAATTACTGGTGGGGGAACGAGAAGGCAGAAATGGAAGCCACCAAGGACAGGTCCAGTCCGGTAAAATTATATATTGTTACTTTTGAGAAGCTCTCTGGCCTCTCTGCCCTTAACAAGCTCCAGGCTGCCACCTTGTGGCCCAAAGGGATCAATGCAATAGTTTTTAGATGGGTCCAGCCCTTTCCAGGGAGAAAAAGGGAGCCCTTCACCAGTTGAACAGCTGCCTGTCACATTGCCACCAAAAGGGAGTCTGGGGGTTAGGTTTCTCTGAAAGTCCAGGCTATTAAGAACCGGCCCAAATGTATCCTCATCATGCATTTAAACCTTGCTTTTAAAACTCTTATTATTTTTTAAGGTTGCTGTTCTCTTTTTTTCCAGTTTCTGCCTTTGGCTCCTAGGCCAAACACGCAAAAAAGTGTGCCCAGGAACTTTTGCATGCACTAAACAACACTTTTTTAAAAACCAACAACTTAAAACTTGACGCGAGAGTTTTGCGGGTCTCTGAGCTGCCTTGGGCCCAGGGTCAAGTGCGGCCCTTAAGGCCCTTCTGTCTGGCCCCTGGGACTCCCTCCCCAGGCTACACCCTTCACTGGCCCTCCTTCGCACCCTCTTGGGAGTTTCTGATGGGCTGGGGCTGTCGGATCTGTTTTTTTTATATATGTCTATTACTCGCTCCCATGGGAGGCTGTGGTGGCCCCAAACTTAAATGGGCAACTTCATGGAAGAGAGGGCTATCGGAGGCGACTAGCAGGAGGGGAGAGCGGCTGAAGATCACAGGGCGGTTTGCAAGATAAACACACAATAATCCATAGCAGAATGAATCCCAGTTCCTGGAAACCTCAGGAGGGGAGAGGGCTGCTTGGATCCTGCTTGGGGCTTTCCTTCGGTGCCTCTGTGGGAACAGGATGCTGGCCTAGATGGGCCATTGGTCTGATCCAGCTACAGAGCTCCTCTGATGGAACCTCCATGCCCAGAGACAGTCTATCTAGGTTCCTAGGTTCTTAGGGACTGAAGGGAAGTTTTTAATGTGTGACATTTTAATGTATTTTTAATCTTTGTTGGAAGCCGCCCAGAGTGGCTGGGGAGACCCAGCCAGATGGGCAGGGTACAAATAAATAATAATAATAATAATAATAATAATAATAATAATAATAATAATTTGGCCACTGTGGAGACAGGAGGCTGGAACAGGTGGGAAACCGGCCTGATCCGGCAGGCTCTTCTTATGGTGTGTTTCACACTGCTTTTTGCACTTGCTTTTAATAGACGTTTCTTGCAACTTGCTTTCTTTTCTTTTTTTATCTGACAAAAGCAATAGATAATAATCATCGTTTTGATAAATGAGACAGCATCCTTCCCGGCCCTCCAGGAGCTCGTTTCTGCTTTTACCATCGGCAAAAGGCTTTCGCTTCCTTTTGAGGGGGGCGAGGCAGCAAAACCGCAGGGACGCCGCTCAGAGGCAGGTGCAGAGACCACCGTTTCCTGAGAAAAGCACAGGCAGCTCTGAAAGCGTTGCAAGCTGTCCCCTCAGCCTCCGAGAGGAGATGCTGTATACAGGAGCATCACCAATGAGTCATCTGACGTTTTTAGGCGAGAGTTCCTCAGTAGCATCAGACTTCCCCAGCCAGCTGCCCTCTAGGAGTCCCACGAAATCTTCCTTCTGCCGTCTATGCTCTGGTAACCTCTAGGCTGGTTTAGTGCAATGCGTTATACGTAGGGCTGCCTCTGAAGACAGTTCAGAAGCTTCACCAGGGCTAGAAGGTTTGAGAATATAATGCCAATCCTAGCTCAACGGCACTGGCTGCCAATTGGTTTCTGGGCCCAATTCAAAGCGCTGGTTTTGACCTATAAAGCTTTAAATGACTCAGGACTTGCAATCCCTCAAGGACCGCCTCTCACCTTTTGAACAGCCCCAGACCCTGAGATCATCATCTGGGGCTCTTCTTTGTGCGCCTCCTCCGTGAGAAGTCCAGAGGGCAGCAACATGAAAACGGGGCCTTTTCTGTGGTGGCTCCCTGCTTGTGGAACGCTCTCCCCAGAAAGGCTCTCCTGGCGCCTTCACTCCATATCTTTAGGGGCCAGGCAAAAGCATTCCTCTTCTCCCAGGTCTTTGGCTAATTAAACAATCTATGGCCTTTTAAATGCGTTTGACGAAAGGGGGTTTATTGTTTCGTTTCATAATGTGTTTTGAGTTCTCATTTTGTATTCTTACGTTGTGAACTGCGCTGCGATTTTCAGATGAAGGGCGATAATAACAATTTAATAAATGGTAATGATTATAATCTGGAGGGCAGCAGGTTAGGGAGTGTTGCTCTAGGGGTGTCCCTTGTGCTCCAAACTGACCCCCGGAAACCGTACAGATCCCAGCCCTTGGAAGCCCCTTCAGGGATGACACACTAAAACAGGGGGTGACACAAATGCACGCACACATCAGGAAGTTGCTTTAGCAAGAGGTCAAAGGGAACCAGACCATTCCTAATCACCTCTAAAGCACCATGTTCAAAATCACGCAACTAAAAAAAAAAAGTAACTTAAGGCAGAGCCCCAAAGGCTGCACCCAGAGAGGAGCTCACCTGCTGCAACTCTGCGAGAGTGCCTGCTCCGGTCTGCTGCCAATCCATCTCTACTGGGGGAGGGATAATTTGTCCATTGTCACTCTGACCGTTCCCCATGCTGGGATGAGGACCTCAGAGAAGAGGCGGCCTGCCACAACTCTGCACGAGTTGCTCCAATCAGGAGGCAACCCCCCGGA